AAGAAAGGACTTGTGTCGCTAAAGTTTCGTAGGAACGAATTTACGGAAAATTAATTAACAAACGGAGATGTAACACTATTTCTTCACTCTATCTATCTCTGCAATTTGTCTCGCCAGGCTTATATACTAAAAAGAGGGTGCATGGCAAACACTAGGACATTAGCGAAGTTCCTCGATAATTCATGATCCTTCTAGAAACTGCAGTGCACATGTTTCCAGCGTCACGTGACTTCCGCTGTCGTAACACTGCCCCTTCCTTAGTATTGTTCGTCCCAAACAATAGCCTCTTACATTTAACCAATAGATAGTTATCAGTAACCTAATTAAATGTACAGAATTCACAAACACAAAAATAAAATAAAACAAAGTCTATTAATTTTACAGGAAGTACCTTCTTCCATACTGGACTCTGACTCATTGGCTTCTGCTTTACGTAAGGTTCATCTACTCCATCAGGAAATGTCCCATTATTGGTAGCAGTCACATTAGTGGTAGTAGCTTCATTAACGGCTTCACTGTTTTCCCTTCTCAAAACTAAGTAGAGTTTCTTCTTCAAAGTTGGCTTTTTCAGGTGACACGTCTTCAGCAGCGTCATTTGTTCTGTTGTTCACTTTGTCCCAACAGCAGAGCATGAAACCACTGGATACACTCCAGCGAAGTTGATGTTTGGTCGGGAACTTCGGTTGTCAGTGGATCTGTTAACAGGACGCCCACCTTATGAAGAGTTGCGTGAAAATGTGTCAAAATTCATGAAAGTGTTATCAGAAAGGATGGATAATATTCACCATCAAGTACGTTCAAACTGGAAAATGTCTGCTGATTCGATGAAGCTATCTTGTGATAAGAGATCTACTGAAGTCAGCTTTGAACCAGGAGACAACGTGTGGTGGTATAATCCCAGGAAGACCAAAGGGAGGTCTCCTAAGTTGTCTTCTCCATGGGAAGGCCCATATGACATAGTGGATTGTCTCTCAAACGTGACTTTCTTAATGAAATGTGGTCGGCGATGTAAGCCAAAAGTGGTGCATGCCAACAGGCTTTGGCATTATCATGGTCCAGGACATTTCTGTCTTATAGGCCATAAATGGTGGAGGGAGTAAGACATCCCAGTCATCTTGGCGGCTATTACAAAACTTTGCTAATTTCTACCCCAGTGTCCAGTTGTACTTTTCTACCATCCCATCAGACTGTGGGTGCAGTGGCGTTGTCCTGGTCTTTCGGATGCCAAGCAACTTGCAGCATTCTTGAAACACAGCTGATTCAAATGTACGGCCTTGATCTGAATGCAGTTCATATGGCATACCAAATCTGAAGAAGAAATCACTAAAGCCGAAGTTACAGTTGTAGCTTCCTGATTTGGTATTCCATATCCCTTAGGCCACTTGGTGAAATAATCCATCACCACACAAATGTACTGTTTCCAGCACGAGTTTGGGGGAGAAGACCAGAAATGTCGACGGCTACTCTTTCCATTGGTGCACCAACTTGATATAACGTCATTGGAGAACGTCCTTTATGCTTGGGTCCCCTTTTAGCACAACATGTACTGCATGTTCTGCACCATTTTTCCACATCTTGTCTCATACCTATCCAGTAAAATCTGTGTCGTAGGTGGCTCAATGTTTTCTTAACTCTAAGATGTTCTCCTGTTAAACTATCATAAGATTGACGCAGCACAACTTCCCGTAACTTCCTCGGTATAACTGTTTGCCAAGTCGTCACTTTCCCATCTGTAGTTCCCATCTCCGGACAAGAATACCATTTTCAAGCTTCAACTGGTCCCATTGCACCCAATAGTGCTTTGTCACAGGGCTTAGACTAGACACCTTCTCCCAAGCAGGGTGCAAAACACTTACTTTTACAGAATCGATTATTGGCTTCAAATCTTGATGTTTCCCCTGCTCTGCTTTAATATCTATCCCTGGTTCCACTTCACCATCATCAACTTCTTCAGTCGGCTTGACTTCAGCATGATGACACCTAATTAGTTCAACCTCTCTTTTAACAGTAACCAGAACTTGGCCTTTGTTGTTCCCAACCATCATTTTCTCAACATCAATTACAAACTTCCTTGGTAGTAGATAGTCCAATCCTAATATGCATTTGTCTTCAATGTCAGCCAAGTATACTTTCTGTCTGTCCTTTATTCCCATGAGCTCAATAGTTACCCACACTGGTCCCCACAATCTTTGAAAATGTCCTGTCACACCGTAAAGCTTCTGTATGGCTTCTGGTACTCCTTCATAATCTAACACCTTGATGCTCACAAAGGTTTGCTGAGATGCAGTGCCTATGACAAAGTTGCACCTTTGGCCATCCAGCTTTCCTGTCACATAGACACTGTGTGTGCTTGGCATTTTACACCTAGTTGTTGGGACTTTCATGATGGGGGTTGGTGGGCGTCGCTCAACACCAACCACTACTGGTCTCGTTGAGGCCGACTTGTTGGTAATATTTTTCCTACACTGGCTCCTCAAATATCCGTGCTTTCCACAGTTCCAACAACCTTTCTGGATACCAGCCTTTCCTGCTGTGGCACCTCCCCTGTGTTGAAGTTTCCAGCATTGAACTCTCTTGTGGCCAGGTTTATTACAGTGCCAGCAAAGTCCCTCAAACTTCTCTGAAAGCTGACCTTTTCTGGCCTTGAATCCAGATGACTGTACCAACCTCGGTACCTCTGTACTGGACTTAACGTAGGTTTCAAATTCGAGAGCTCTGGCCATTGCATCCTGCATGGTGGAGGGGTGTGCTTGCTTCACTTGTATCTTAAGTTGTGGACTGTCCAAGGCATCTATGAACTGATCCCTCAGCAATAACTTGAGGAGATCGGGTGGTGCAGTTGGGTAGGCCTTGTGTGCCATGCTTTCCAAGTCCTGAGCCAGCTCTTGCAGGCTCTCCCCTTTAGCACGGATTCTCGTCCTAAACCTAGCCCTGTAGACTTCTGACTGATTCTGAGTTCCATACCTAAGTTCCAGAGCCTCTAACAGTGCTCTATAGTAGTGTCTGTTGGCTGCTGTCAACTGAGTATTTCCAGTGGTTGTCCCTTCAAGCTCGTTGCC